CAGGAGTAACGCGAAGATACCTTGATTGAAGTACGTGTGCTAGAACCGCGGTTTGCATCAAATAAATTCTCTATTGAGGATGAAACATCAATTATATAGCAATCTGAATCTTCTCCAAAGTCATTAGCGTCTTGTGATGATGTACTAGAAGAATACGATGGAAGGGTAGCCTTCGCGCTGCTCGTCGACTTGAGGAATGATGTTAAAGGTACGTTTGGGTGATTGAGGATGATAGGAACTGGGTGATAGAGGACCGTCCCAGTTAATGAGCGCTGCGTGCTCAAAGCCTTTCATCATCGTTGACCATAGCGAGCAGCCCGGCAAAGTCACTCTTCCAAGAAAAGGTCCGCCATCGGCAATTCCCGTACTTTCAACTGAAAGTTAAACGGGTTTAATAAACGTCAAACTTGGGTCAAACATCAATTGGATGACTTTCCGTAGGATTTCAAGTGGTAGCCATAGGAAGCGGCTGTATCTCCAGCTGCAGACTCTGACTACTTCTTCAGTACCAGATTTATCGTTTATTGTTGTGGTTCTGACAGGGGACAGGCGTACACATATGGTAGAAGTAGGGTAGACGGTGAACCCGTATACCGTACATGAGATTGGCAGTGAACAAAGCAAACGGTACAGTGTGGAGTATTGAACACACATACCCAGTAGTAGTGTACGGTACATACAGGGTTGAATCAGTTTAGCAGCTATAAAGCGGACGATCGCATGGCTATGTATCCTTGGACAGAATCAGGAAGGACAAAAACGGTGCTTGCAATTCGCCAAAGATTCGTGGATCACCTAAACTCAAGATAGGTGGCACAAAGTTTCATGTTGCATCTCAACTAATCATCTTCAGAGCCTGATCCCTGTCCATCCATCCCAGTATTGACTGACTAGACTCAGATAGGGCTTACAGAGTCAAGTCTGGGCAGGGACTGGATAGTATTGTCCCACATAGAATCTCACTCTGGATGGACATAGATTGAACACACACAAAAAGATCTGGGAGCCGACATCCCTGGCCTGCCAGCCAGGTCCTGACTTTCCTTGGCAGGATAAGTGAAGGCAGGCAGCAGCAAGCTTATGACTCCAGCTCACACACCACCAACATTGCAGTCGGGCGTCTACAAGGGCAGGCGATAATACATCACTACATCACCCGTCAAAAGACACAGGAGCAACAACGCCCTAGCCGGAAAAAGCAAACAGACAAACGAATGCGTTGATGCAGGAAGTGTTTCTCCGGAGGGAAACCCGACGAGGTATTCATCACGAACAGTTTGGGTCGGTGACCAATCCCTTTTTCATTTTGACGCAGGCCGGATCCTCGTGGATTTTGCGGAGAGAAGAGAGGGCGAGAAACGTAAGTGCCTTTGACCTTGCCAGATTTAAGAGGACGCGACGTATATCGAACGCCGCCGACAATGCGCGTGTTTGCCTCTGTGAAGACAGGTGCGTTAGATGCGGCCGACGTACCGGACAACCTTGCATGCACTGCGTTTTGTCCCTATCTGATGGCCTGTGGGAAGATATAGCTTCTTATAGTGGACTACCGTCCCAAAATGGTATGATAACTTGACGGTTGCCAAGGTATGCGTACCTCTGTTCAGATTCTCCTGCCTTGACTGTGTCTACCATACGCAGAGAACTTCTACCAGGCCCCTACGACCAAGGATGAGATTGGGTGAGGGATCCTCATCCCAGGTATGTGGGAGGATGATATCTTTTTGTACCACCCTAGCAACGAGATCAGCACAGATCTCTTCTGTTTTGCTGTACTAGCCCTCGGGCGTTAATATATCGACGAGCTCATTTTTCGCTAAGTACGACGGAATGAACGCAGGAAACATCCCTGTAGTACTACCCTGAACCAGCATCCACTAAACCTTGCACATGGCCAAGAACAAGAAGGAGAAAAATCGAAGTACGAAAGGCGATGTAAGTACACATGTTACATTTGGGAAATCTCACTGTTACTGACGCAAATATACTAGTATGCGACTTATCATAAAACTGAGGTTTTTTGCAAGTGTTCTGAATGTACTTCAGAATGGGTTGAGAAGGTATGTCCGTGCCTTTGTCAACTTTCTTTTCTTCTTCTGACGCACATATTTATCTGTAGGCTCATCCTCATCATCTGCATCATCCCCGTCATCTCTGTGAGCACGTTTCAGGCGATCAACCTCCTGCTGAGATTCTCGCATATACCACGTAGCACCTGCACATCCGACGCAGTTTCTAAGTCTGGCTGAATAGCATGTTGTCTGCTAGAGGGCAGTGATTGAGGTATGCGAATTTGATGGGGTAGACTCTGCTGAGGCTGACCCTATACCGCCTCTGCTGCAAGAGCAAGTAGAACATCTGGCGTCAAGTTCGCAAGCAAGTTGTGCAATGCGATGGGGCTGGTGGGGGATCGTTTGGACTGCCAGACAGGGGTGGATATGGTGGAGGTGGAGGGGGCCCTGGTGGAGGACCTTGCTGTTGCCTGCCACCGCTGGTGCGCATTTTACTGGGTATATACACTCAAATTGGGGCTCAGGGATGGGGTTTGGGAGAAGGAGTGTAGCGGCTGTGTACTTGTACTCGACCTATATCAGGATACATGATGTATTCACAACGTGGCTACCTGTCCTAATTCATGCATATTAAACCACCTCAAATGGCTGTGTGCACACCTTAGTTGACCTCAAGTATATTATATGTGGCCGTAGTATATACTAGTTTATCTTGCCATAGTGTGCGCACCTTGGTTGACCTCAAGTGTACCATATGTAGCCATATTATATACTAGTTTATCTGGTCATAGTGTGCACACCTTAGTCGACCTCGAGTGTACTATATGTATCCGTATTATACGCTAGTTTACCTTGCCATAGTGTTTATACCTCGGATACTTATAGGATCCATATCTCTCCTTCACCAGTATACCTTACGTGATTGTACTTATGTCTACCTACGGTAGACTTCGTACCCACGGGTCACCCACCCACGTTTCACATAAATCCATAGCGCAGTGATGGCTCGTTCCAGCAAGCGTTTAAGCCTTAACCGACATTGAAGCAAGAATAGACCTGGTGGTAGGTGTGAGTGAACCTATGAAGTCCACAGCGTCCGCTATGAAACTCGGGATAGAAGGCTTAACGACAGGAGCCGTCTCCTGGACATTTGATTCATCCAGAAAATGTTCGTCGTCAGAAACTTCTTCGATATAGTTTTCGTCCATCCTTCGGTTCGCTCTCTTCAAGTTGCGTTCGGCACGCGCAATGATTTCTTCTTCCACTGCCTCCCGATCGTGAAGATTGATGCGTCTCTGCTTGTTTTTAGCGAGAGATGATGCAGTCCTCGACGCGTACTCGTCGGACAAAAAGGTCATTGTCTTGCCGGTTAAAGAATCATGTATCTTTTCTTCCGGCTCCTTCAGGATGCCCAAGATTCGGCGTCTCTGTAGAGGTCATAATAGCAGTAATAATTCTACGAACGGTACGTTGGTAATGCCGAATGCTCAATATGAGAAAAACGAGCGAGTGAGAGAGTGCAATAAGGATAAATATAAGATACGCGTGTATGACTGCGCGTTACAGCTCATAGCGCTCATTCGCTTAGTAAGCACTAGTTTGAGCTCTGTGCTCGCAGGTTCACTTTACAGCTCAAACTGCACCATGTCCAACTGGATTGTTGCCCCTTGACAGGGGTATGCTGCATGGATGCACAAATGTCTGGATGACTCCAGAGCGCCTCCCTTGTCAGGGGGGATTCACATCACCAAACATCTCTAGCCAGATTCTCTCGCACAACATGGAACTCAGACCAAAAGAGTCATGTCTGACTGCATTGCAGCCCCTTGACAGGGGCATGTCACATGGATGCGCACGTGTCTGATTGACATCTCCCTTGTCAGGGGGCGTCCACAAAAAACCAGACTCTCCATAATACCTGACGGTGTGGGAGGTTGAGAGGAAACTTGAGTGGCAAATATATACAAATCCTCAGCGCCAAACAAACCACCACACAACCACACATGAAAATACATCACAATATCAATTGCAATCCAACACGTATGGTATATTTTTAAACACAGCCGAATTCGTTTTCTACATGTAAGGGATGCTCAATTCTAAAAGTTCGCGTTCACCTGGGATCCGAGCAAGTTACGAAACTGATTACCGACGCTTACAACTCCTTATTTGGAACCGCACGCCGGCCGTTACATGGCGATTTTGTTATCAGTTCTCATGAGTCAATGCCAATTCAACGCGTCGTTCGACGTTCAACAGTGATCAATATGCCCCGTGCGCAGCTACGAAAGCAAGATTACAGGGATATTTTAACTTTACATTCTGTTATGGCCAGTAGGTTGGCTGTATCAAGGCTGCCTCCCACTCCTGCTGTTGATGGACTCCACTCCGAAACTGATCTGGATTGTATCTACTACCATTATTATGATAGTAGTCCATTGCTGGCACAGTACTGGAATTATTATCAGAATGATAGACTATAAGATACGTCTGGCCCGCTTCGGCCTTGGAACTAATTTACGGAGGCGGAAATGAAGCGGTTAAGCTTGAACAACCAAACTCGGCTCCCAGGTGAACGCGAACTGAATGAATTGAGCATCCCTGTACAATGATGAGTGTCCAAGTCATCGGCCGCTGCAATCAGATTTTCGAAATTTCCTCGTTGTTGATCCACTCGTAGTTCGCGATGATAAGTCCCTCTGGTATACTCGATCAGCATGCATGTCAAGTGTTTCATGCACAATGAACGCTTACCTCTTGAAACCGCTATTCATCTTCGGACCACTCATGTGCCAGCCAGCGAATCCTTTGGCACCGGTCAAAGTCATGTTGGCAAACAGCCCTACAAAAGCTATTCGGCTCCCTCTGTCGCCTAATACATAATCAGCTACGCTTCGACTAGCTAGGGGGATCACAGCTTACCAGCAGTTTGAAGACTATCCGTGCTGCATCATGTGCATGGCCATGTTCATTTATGTGAATGCGAGTGAAAGATTGAATGCGAATGTCTGTCATGGGTGTCACTGCGAGGCTGTATGTCATTCTGCGTAGTTCCTTCACCTTGTGAATACCGCTGCGTTGAGTTTGCTCGTCGGATTTTCATTCCAATCAAACTCACACGAAAGTCACCCGTGATCACGTGATGTTAGTTGATTGTGCAAGAGTATCCTACGCCTCGAATGACACTGCCATCATTTACTCATACAGCACGGACACGACATGCATACAGCCTTCTTGAATACTGACCAAGATTTACTTCCTCTTCTGAACAGAGCCTTTGAGTGGCAGGATGCACTCGCTTGTGGGACAATGAAGGACTACGAGCCAGATATGATCGTTCGCGAAGCAATTGATCATGAAGATGATTTGTCCTCCAATACATGTGCCACCAATCTAGTCGAGAACTCCCGTCGTACACATATTAGCAATGGACAGCAACAAATTGCAAAGGGTGTATCCCATAAAAAGAAGGGCAGCAACTCACGTCGTCGACGGAAGAGGCGAGAAAAGGCCGCCAACTCTTATGCACCTATACTTAAATTGACATCCAAGCGAGTCCTTAAACATCCAATGGCCACACCGATCTCGCTACAGGATATGCCTATAGCATATGGAGCATATGTTGGAAAACGAGTTGAGAGCGTCGACAGAGTGCAAGACCTGAAAACGCTACTTAACACAGGATTTCGCTTAGTGGAGTGGGATGGAAGGTGTGTGACTCAGGAAGATTCCATGCAGGGTCACGGGCTGACTTACGCCAGATCGCCCAAAACACTACTGGATAAGAACAGAAGGGTAATCGTCGTTCTAGCTGGTCAACCACAGGATGACGGCTGGCAGCTTACAACATCCCAAGCCTGCGCTGCAATGGAGATTGCACGGGAACGTTGCACCTTCAAGCTATCTGATACCCATCACCGGCGGGGATTCTACCCATGCCTGGGTGTTGGAGTCTCATATGGGGGTGGTCAACAGGTATATTAACTATCACACTCAAGCGGTCTGCATCAACAGACTGACACTTACACAGGAGCCGGACAATCTTCAACACTCCAACAGAAACCAAGAGGAGCTTCGGGCACTTCTGTCTGAACCAACCATTCAAAGGTTGGCAGGTTTTGGTAGTAGTGAGTACTAAGATTCTGTTTTGTGCATTCGTTCATTCATTTGAAAGGCATACTTTGTCATTATGCACCCAAGGTCCATAGGGTGTATACTGACACCAAAGCATCTCTCAAGAGTATGCACGCGCATCTCACGTGGAATTTTCGTAATAGTGTTTTTGCTGCTGCCACGTTCAATCTTGGACCCGCCACCGTCACCTTTGATCACACCGACAATGTAAATTTTGCCAGTGGGATGTGTAGCATTACTGCCCTAGGAAATTTCGACCCAATCACTGGCGGCCACTTGGTCCTGTTTGACCTTGGACTCATCATCCAATTTCCGCCCGGTGCCACCATTCTGATCCCCTCGGCCATTCTACGGCATGGAAACATCCCTATTTCTTCGCTGGAGAAAAGGTTATCTTTTACTCAATATTTTGCAGGGGGTCTCGTCAGATGGGTTGAGTATGGATTCCGCACAGAAAAGGCTTTTAAGCAGCAAAGTCCTGAGGCATGGCGTGAAGCCCAAGTTCAGCGCCTGACCCGTGTTGAGCACGCGGCTCGGTATTTTTCGATTTTCGAGGAGTTGGAAAAGGACCATAGTGAGTATACACTATGATAAGGAATGTCAGTGTTTTGTTGCGTAGAAGTACATCTGCCTACATGTTTGAAAATGGTGTGGTCTCTCGGCCTGCAGGGGAATTCTTTACTCGCTACCAAACTGGTTTGCAGCTTTCTCTTGCCATAATACCGCCGGGATCTCTTCTCTTCTCTGTTTCTGTTTCCTTTCTACTGTTCCCTCATTCACTACTATCTGTTGAACATGGACGCATGAAGGCATTGGTGTCAATGTGTTGGCATTCGACGCCAACACTGCCTCAGCCGAACATGATATCTATTGGATGCGGGGAGATCTGCGATTCCGAGGTGAATGGCAGCAGCACGACCTTTTGGGGGCATGATGTTCAAGTTGAGGGATGATGGCACCGACAAGACGCTTAAAGCGATATTGATATCTTGGCTACCCAGATCTAGGCGAGCTCATTTTTGAAACTCAGATCAACCTCCGACCAAACGCTTGGGAAAGTTGAATGACTAATAGGATAAGAAACCCCAGGGTTTTGTAGCTTAGTAATCCAAACCCATGTACAACATCAAATTTAATAGAGGGTTTCTCGCTAACGGTCACTGGCCGGCACATAGCCGACAATCGGGAGCAGCTCACATTGTAGATCAGTGGTTTTATTCTACTGGCTGTTGTGTCCTAGCTGCAAACAAAGGAAATTGAAATCAAGTTTCATTCAAAAGTCTACTACTCTAGTACCTGTGTCCATAGATTCTCACAATAAAATATTGGCTAAGCATTTGTAACATCGTCTGTTCGGAATTCTGAATTTCCGTACCTCACCTACTACTGAGAGTACTCCAAATGGTTGCACCTGCTTGTTTTCTTTGGTTCGAACTTTATAATCACTTTACTTTTGTGGTCTTTATTGATACCTTATAGCACAAGTAAATAGTGATGTTTAGATGCATGCTACTTACAAACTATCACTCGATTTGACTTGAAAACATCTCGTTGTACAACTAATGCGGACCAATCAGGCTATCTACGGGTATCGCTATTATTCGGTGTAGTAACGCTGCGCCTCGCCTGCCCGCCATTTACTCCTCGTCCGCGTGATCGTCGGTAGTCCTGGCAGCTGATTTGAGCTAAAGAACAGGGACATTAATGTAGTAAAATGGGCATTTTGCACAAAATCAGAGCTTTGCCGTCTCAAATTTCTTAGATTTGTATCTGCCTCAATCTGTACTTAGACGTCTATCTCTACATATCTACCTCATTCTTGTCGATTTTCACTGGCGCTGGGCGCTGAGTACTGAATTTCACCCATCTTGCTTGCGTGTAGTCAGCTTTGGTTCGTTTGTGCAGCCGTTCTCCTGGTTCGGAGTAGGGAAGGTATAAGTATATATGCATATCGCACGTGATGGACGCGTCGCGCTTGTCGTTCAATGATTGGACCCCAGTTGAAAGCCCGACATGTCATACAAAAGCAGTTGGTAGCTTGTCAAGAAATTCCATGCTGCACAATTTCCTTATGTTATGAACTTGATGTATGCCACTCATTTCACAACCAATTCAGGCGCCCTTCATTTCATGTATTGACTTACATCAACATCGAAGGAAATTTATAGTTCATGTGTTAGGTTGTAATTTAAAACTATGTCTGGTTTTAGAAATGCCGAAACATGAAAGGAATATATCGATGTTGCCAAACTTCAGTGCCAAGGCGAAGAAGAGTGATCGAAGTAAGAAAAAAAAAATAGCCCTTGCTGCCCCTTGACAGAGGCATGTTACATGGGTGCACGGATGTCTGGATGACTCCAGAGCACACCTCCTTTGACAAGGGGGACGTCCAAATCACCAAACAACCTGACTCTAGCCATATTCTCTTCATCAAGTTCAGAGCCTCCAGAGTTCCGCCCAACAGAGTCATGTCTGACTGGATTGCTGCCCCTTGACAGGGGCATGTCACATGGATGCGCAGATGTCTGGATGACTCCAGAGCACACACACACC